CGCTCCTGATAATCAATGTGACGTCTGCCTTCTACCTTTCAATCGGCTATCAACCGGGATTGACAACCTCAACTCCCGAAGTCAAACATCTTGATCTCGATCCTGCCCCAGTCATTCTTCTATTTTCTCAAACCACTAAATCATGGGCTAAGGCTTAGGAGATGCGGTCCAATGCCTCCGGTTCAACCACTGCGCCGATCCTGTGGGGTCGCCCCAAACCGTTTCCTACGCGGTCTCTTCCGGCTCTCGGACCAGCGCGTGGTGGCACTCGAGCTGTTGTGGGCGGGAGCGTCATCATCTCATTCTATGTATATCTACTTGGTTTATTCAATTCGTCTGACAGCCTCTCCATTCTCAAGTCAGATAATGAAGTTGATTCATGATTTTATCAAAGATACATCAAATACATACATAGAATAGCCCCATGGTCTACGATCCAATGGGCAAGTGAATCAACTGGGGGCCGGGGCAGTGGTGTACCTGGACTAATTTCCACCCCGATTTAGCTAGGACATCGGAAAATCCTTCCCGAGTACGCTCAACTCCGCCGAGAAAAGCGTCATTATGGATAATTGAGTGTAGGGTCACTCATAGTCAAATCATAAAGATACAAGTCGGCCGTGGCAACTCCCCAGTTGGGCAGTAACGGACTGTGTTCTGCGGTTGGCCGGATTGCACCTGGGATATCTTGCGTGTTAGAAGTCGCGAGTCCCTCGCTCGATGCGAAGGGTACGATTTGATGACCAGTTTAGTAGTCGGCAAAGCAGCTGCGCGCAGATACCCTAGGATGGATGTATCTCAACAGAAAAACGGCAACATATTTCACGGGTTGGGGCGTAAAGAAGTCGTGCACTGTTTTTGATTTCAGAACAGAACGAAAGTTCAACATGAAATGGACGAACCGTGGCATTCAACCATTTGTGCGTCGAGCGTACGGGGAACGGGTCTTTCCAGAACTGCATTCCAAGGAAAAGATCCGGTTTGTATAATCTGACTCTGTGGCATTACCTCTTTCGAGAGCTCGATGGTTGACCCAGATCCTGGTGCACCACCCGCAGTTGAGGGTATCGCTTTACGATCGACAAGGAAAGGTATCCAATGCCTCCACCAACATTGACGATAATCTCTCCGCTTGGCAACAGGCTCCAATCGAATCCTACTCATCCAAGGTCAGCATCGAATTTATTAATTAAGGAGTGTAACACGCCTTGGAATATCAAATCTGCGGTGTTGCCGCAATGCCTTGCATGGCAACGGCGAATCGGCCAATGTTGCAGGGGTCTTCGGGTCCTTGGAGCCACACGAACATGGACTCTTCTGTTCTGTACGCCAAACTGAAAGGGAGTTTCCCATTGGGATTCACTAGTGAGTCTGGAAGGTAGATTCCACTCTTGCCGGCGATGTCCGCCGTAATAAAACATGAAGGCCGTAAATCTCACGGAATTCCTGGACTTACGTGTGTTCCGATACCGCTATTCCGGAGGACCCAACTAACCTATCTTTACGGCTTCGAGGAAGGTGTAAATAAACGTCGATAATCATTGAGCCGCACGTACTTTGAGAACAGGAAACTGGATGGCTTTCCTTTGTCCAGAGGATATTCTGTTGTTCGCAGAGACACCTGGAGATACTTCACGGAAAATGTGGTGTGTTGCCAGAAGTCGAAGAATTCTCGTTTCGACAAAATCAATCCAATGTTGAGTTGCTGAATTTGGCAGACCTCACCCATTAAATTGGACCGGCGCGGCGTTGATTGAACCGCCGATTTAAATGAAATAACAATCAGATTCTGAACTTGATCCGAATAGACAGCTGTCTCCATGTTCGGCTATAGGTGAATACCATGTAAAACTATGCATCAGATGTCAAATGTGTAGGACATTTTGAACTAATCCAGTTGTGCGACTGTATTAATCGACCAATATACCTCCTTTCTTCCATTATATCCAGCTATCTATAACCAATGATTCGCTGTTGAATTTAGATAATTAGAGGTACTGCGTGGGGACGAGAAGCTGACGCTCGGCAGCGGGACAGTTCCGCGTCATGATGCATTGATGGACGGCTAACTGATTACTTCTATTTCCCTCCATTCTAAAGGTGTTAAATACAGCCGTGTCATAACACCAGGGTAGCCCAGCATCCCCCGGTTTGAGGCCGATCTCGGAAATTTTCGCCTCACTGGATTCTAAAGCTCACTAGATTGCCCGGCGTTCTGAACTGCCTTTGACGCAATGGCCAGCCCACCCACCCTAGCCTCTACGCATGGTATCTGGTTGATCGCGGCCTTTTTGGCATCCATGTATGTGCCAGATCATTCCCAGTATGCAGAGAGGCTAACTGAAGGATACAGCCTACAGGGGATGGGGCTCCTACAGGGCTTCCTGTAAGTCATTCTCCATGATCAGAGAATTGTAGGTAACTCCATTTCCCACAGCTACTTTCTCTGGTATCCAAAAGATCACTGGAGCTTTAAAGCAACGGTAGGTATTGCATTCCATCCTCAAATAATGCGCTGACCACCCTTCCAGGTTATTGTTATGCTGTTTGTAACATCGAGCTCGTATTTCCTTTAACGAACTGATAGTTTTAATAGTGTCATCGAGTCCATTCAGTCGGCGGCGGCAATTAGCAACGTATATACGTGGTTCATTGTCGAATTTGGTGATCTCGAGCGCCTGAACATCATCCCATTGTGCGGTGATAAAACTCACTGTCCAGTTCTTTCCACTCACAGTCCTATCCTAGTCAGGATCCGCTGCAATTGACTGCCCTGGTAATTTGCTCAACATAGAGACACGCAAAAAATTGACCGTGATACTCCAGTATCTGTCGACATTCGTAGCCCAAGGGTGAGTTGTTGTAGGTCAACATGCAACACCCCTGCTCATTTTTCTGTAGCCATTTTGCCCGAACAATTTTTCAATGCAAGTCGGCTCCTGGGAGGCTCGGCCGCGCCTGACACTCGATGCTAGTGCACAGACAAAATATAGTGATTCCGATACTCGTCCTCCTGCTATCCATGGCTGCATTGGGTAACAAAAAGTCCATTCCGATGTACGCTGATCTGATCCGCATTTTTTCCAGCATCTGGGATGGGTGAGCATTTATTTACATCGCTAGCGCGAGCTGACCTGTTTGCAGTGCAAGTGGGCCTTACGTTCGTCCTCTGATCTCCATAGTGATATTGACTCACTGAATCCCGCTAAAGTGTTGGACTCAAGAAATACAGTGACCTGGGTACAACAAGTGTATGTTTATTCATTTCGGTGCAGTTCCCTTTTTCATCTTCGTGTAGGCAAGCAGCAATCTTCAAGCCGCATTTTCCCTGGCCGCCGATGTGTTGATCACGGTCGGACTCTGTTGGCGCTTGAACAATAGCCGGACCGGAATTCAATCGTATGTCACTCCCATTCAGCAGAAGAGGCGCTCACCCTCCCCGGCGGTCCCTTCCTCCTCCCAGAACACATAAGGTGTTAAATTTTTTGATCATCACAGCGATAAATCGCGGGGTATTCACGATGCTCTTCGCGGTGCTGAACGTAGTCTTGGTATGTCTGTTGCCTCCAAATACCTCTTGACTCACACATACTCTCTTAGTTCGTCAGCCAGCCTGGGACATTCTATTTCATGCTCGCGCTCCTCCTGAGCGACAAATGTGCGCTGCTTAAAATGCTCCATTCCGACTGTTGAACTGACTGTTAGTTGCGTAGTCTATATGAATAGCATGCTTGCAGTGTAAGCCGCATCCATTTATGTCACATTCTCACCTACCCATTTATTTCAGGCTCAATACACGCCAGCACGCCTTTAAGATGCACGGGGACGCTGTTGTTCAGCAGATTTCTATGTCCTCTTTATCAGCTAAAAACAACACTGTCCGGACTGTCCAGAACGGCATTACAGTTTCAACCACATTTGAAACGAGCCGTGACAATATGCAAGTCTAAGTTATTTTATATGGCCACACTCGTCTAATGGTTCTGTCCTCAGCTCCGACTCTGGTGTCGACGGAAAGTTCTCAGTTTGAGGATGGGACGCCGATAATATGACTGCTGATCTCAGCGAATGTAATGCGAAGAAGAGATATCGCGGGGTAATTATACCAAAGTAGCAGCTAAGAACAGAAGTATGATACCCAACCACGGCACCGTGTCGTTCGTTATTTATTATTTAATGTAATTAATCATGCTCGACATAGCGTGAGTGAGCTCCGGGCGTGCACCAGGATACCAAACAGTAAAAGCAAACCTGAATTCTGTCAGCCAAGAAGTAAGTGCGGTGGATATCAAGCGAAGGTATGAACCCGGTGCATTGTCATCGAGTTGTTCATTCCTGTGGAGCGGCTTGCAGCGAGCTACGGAAATCTGCCACTGGTATATGTACGATGTTCATTATGTGGGTTCGAATGTAGATTATGCACGAGGGATTTGAAGGAGTATACTGCGGTAAGCTGACCACAGTGCAAGCGTCAGTTTACTCATACTATGGACAAGCTAGAGATGAGAGAAGTCCAGCAAACTCAGGCCGGACAAGAAAGCCCATATCATGGCGTGATGTAAGAGCCATGTACAAGTTTGGCTGCGCGAGCCGGCAGAAAGCTTGGGAGGAGATCCCGGGCGGACATGATGCAGAGATCGATCGAGACATAACGCCAGCGTGGGGGATTGACGACGTGGAGGAAGGCAGTTATTCGGCAAGAAGAGCGCACAGAGAGCGTAGCAAGGGTAGCACAGACTGGAACAACCGGTGTTCTCATAAAGTACGAATTTGGCGGGAGCTGAGGCTGATGTTGCGCACAGACAAGAGCACGATAGCGCAGTAGACGAATAAGAGGCTGGACTAGATGCAGCGTATCGTGTGGACAGAGGAGAATCGTCGGAGTCCGCGACGACGGAGATGAGATATTAAGAGAGGAAGCCGGGTGCAAAAGAATTGCCGCGGACTGAGGGCGAGAGAATGGGGAAAGAGTGACTTATGCAAGTGTTTCATAATTCCCATGGCCATCGTGGGGGTCGAACCCAAGACCTTCGCGTAATATATAGGGCGATCATGTATATGATATTAGCACGACGCTCTAACCAACTGAACTAGACGGCCATCATGGAGTAAGATGGCCTTCTCGATAAGACAACAAAATTACTTTTTGCTGGTTATTGACATGAAAATCACAAGTACTGAAACTGACCTTCATAAGGAACAGTCGAGTGTCGGCAAAACATTGTGATGAAAATGTACAAAATTAGATGAGCCAGAACCACATAAAATACAGCACAGAGTAAAAGATTAGAAAGGTTAAAAAAGTGCACAGGGACCCTCGAAAATGTCCGCTCAGTGGCTGATCGATGCGATGGCCTCCAGGATGTATTAGTTAAGGAGTTAAACATCCGCCTCTGCCTTCAGATGGTCTCCACGGGAACAGTCAGCAATCATCCCAAATTATAGAGACGACGGAGAAGAACCTTGGCGAAGATATCGGCCTTGTCATTGTCAATGTAGGTGGGCGAAATATGAACGACCACGCTGGGGACACTGCGTATTCGAGCGGCTGTTTCCACCAGAATATGGTCACGGTGGTCTTCCTCGCGGCGGCTCTTCGTCCCGGCGGACTCGAAAGCAAGGGGCTGAGTACCAATACCGATACTCGCTTCAGCAGAGCGGAATCGAGTTCGGCCGTTGAGGCTAATGCGGGGAATCAGAGGGATCAGAGGAGATGGGGATGGGGCGACAAACACTGCGAGCATGGAGTTCGAGAACACTAAGAATATTCAATCAGTGTGATCCATGAAATTGTCGCGATCAGTCTCACATTTGGGTTGAATAAGATAAAAGATCATGAAAGTCACTGTCCGAGTTTAGGAGGGTTCAATGCCTGGTGAGTGTAATTTGAGTAAACGGTGGGACATACAATCCGTGCGAGTGAGGAACTGTTGAAGTCGTAAGTGAAAAGAAAGCAAAAGCAATGGTTGATTGACGAGGATGAGCTGGAGGATCGCCGATACACTGCAATAAACATTAATACCTTTGAAATATATGCAACTGTCAACGTACCTGGTGACAAGGGCTGTTTCTAGACAGCGGAATGAATTGCCAGGGTACTCGCATTGAAGTATGCTCACCGAAAGTCCAGATTAAGAGAGTGTCGACCATACTTCGTGCTCTTGACTGCTTTGAGAACGTCAACGATTTAGTCATATTGTAATGAACCTACCGATGGAATTCCGATTTTCGAAGTTGCCAGAGGCAATAACACATCGCCAGAGCGATAAGGATGTCCCCAGTAGGTCCGAGGATCTGGACGGTGACCATTTCCCAGTGTACTTTCGACTTTAGCCCCAAATAGCCTTCTTTGTAAATCCAGAAACTGGACATGAGGACCATGTCACAGGTGAACCGCATGACTGCTAATGGTATGCACAAGAAGAAAACGTGAAAGCGCCCAGATAGCACCCGGATGCGGTTGCCGTAGAAGATCTACATTCACTGTCAGCCCTCGCGGGTTGAATCCGCACTGAGGCGCACCTGGACCAAGGCGTATATTCCCCCGGAGAACACAAGCGACAAAATATGTGACGGTGGGGGGTTAAGGATGATTTCTTCGGGCGGTTCGCCGTAGAATGTGACAGTCATGGCATAAATCTTCGTCCCTGGGGTGAGAAGGGGCACGCAGGATTATCATCGTTACACACCCCATGTATACAGCATATCGTATGGCCGAGGTCGAGCAGCCTACGCATTTATCAGGAGATGCGACTTAAACTGTGGCGGAACCGAGCTTACCAGAGTATACCGATCTATCCTCGCAAGGCTGAAGGTTACTAAGGTGGCATTGGGTATAAGACGGTCGTACCGTGATCTTGAGCGTCTTTGAGTCGTCGGGAAACTGGCGGTAATAGTTGAACGTTTGAAGAGTTAAAATCCCGAAGAGGAATATCCCCACAACCATGCCTATCTCCAACGCCCCGAGGGATCCGTCGAGTGCAGGAGAGTAGGGGGGATGCCATTGGAAGGATGTCGAGTGCAGTGCGACCAACGCACCGCTCATTATATATCCAGCACACCCGGTCAGATTGATTCCCGTTACCCCCCTCCATTACTCGCGCTCCATGATGATCTATCCATCCAATGCAGATAATCTATTCACCCAATGGATGATCAAGTCATTTAACTGTTCCGGAGGGTGTTCTGTTCTAAATATGGCGTCCTTAGGCTAATTTGAGAACTGAACAAGGGGATTTGAGATGAGGCTGAAACTCTTGGAGTAGCGCTAGCGTCGCGCGCAGAGATTTCTTTCGGTTTCTGTAAAATGTTGGATAAGAAAGGATGCCCTTTGTGTGCATTTTGCTTTTTGTGGGTAAGAGTAAGATCCGAGATCTAATCTAATCAAGCGTTACATCACAGGTCACAGTCACATACAGCTTACTCCTTCCCTTCATGGCGTCGACAACAGCCTCGACAGCGCCGGACGTGCTGGCGGGGGTGTTCGCGGGGCTGAAGAACAAGAACCCCGACGTGCGCCTGCAGAGCGCGATGGAGCTGCGGCGATACGTGGCCCGCAGCGTGGCCGACATGGCCAACGACGACGACAACATCAGCCGTCGCCTCTTCGAGCTCATCCATTCCCAGAACAGCGTCGACAACCTAGGAGGACTCATGGCCATCGGTGCGTGGTCTGTTATCGAGAAAAAGCTGAAAAAGCTGATACGATTCTCTGCTTAGACCACCTCATCGACGCGGAAGGCGAAGTGACGATTGACTCGCACCACAATCTCTTCCGATTCTACAACTATGTCAAGCACCTCCTCCCCAACCCCGACCCCAACCTCATCCTCGCCGCGTCGAAGACGCTGGGCCACATCCTCGCCGTCGGCGGCCCCGCGTTCGGCGAGACCTTCATGGAGCACCAGGTCCCCGCCGCCATCGCGCTCACCAACTCCTCCCACAGCGGCGGGGACAAGCACGACGCACTCGGCATGGCGCGCTACGCCGGCGCTCTCATCCTCAAGGAGCTCGCGCTCAACATGCCCGCTCAATTCTACGTCCACCTTCCCGCGGTCCTCGACCAGGCCGTCCTCGCGCCCCTGCGCGACCCGCGGCTTGTCGTGCGCGAGGCCGCCGCGGAGCTGCTCGCCGCGTGCCTTGAGATTGCCGCGCAAAGGGAGCGCGCGACGCACGCCCCTGCGCCCGGCGCTTACCTCGCCAAGATCCTCGCCGACGCGCAAGCGGGGCTCAAGTACAGCCAGCCCGAGGTCCTCCATGGAAGTCTCCTCGCCTACCGCGAGCTACTCCTCCACGCCGGCGCCGTGCGTCCCTCTCCTTTCATCGTGTTCTTTTTTCTGACATGTATGCAGTTCATGAAAGACGCTTTTATCGAGACCGCGGACGCCATCCTGGCGTTCAGGGCGAACCGCGACCCCGCCGTGCGCCGCATGGTCGTCGCGATGATCCCGACGCTCGCGAGCTATAACACGCCCGCGTTCAAGGAGCAGATCCTGCACAAAGCCATGGGACACTTGCTCTCGCAGCTCGACAAGCCGCACGAGCGCGACTACGGTGCGTTTTCTCCCAACAAATCCACACGGGACAAGCACTGATATACGCACACGACAGCCCTTATCGCAATCGGGCACACGGCGACGGCCGTCGGCTCAGAGATGAAGCAGTTCCTCGAGACGATCATGAACCACATCAAGACGCGCCTCAAGGAGGCCGCCGCCGTCGCCGCCGCCGTCTCTGGTGGCCGTGGGTGCGTCCTTAATTGCCCGCTTATTCAATTAATCAATCTTCATTAATTCATCCATCACCAGCCGTCCTCCACCCCCGCCCGACCCTCTCCTCGCGGCTCTCGGCCTCCTTGCGACCGCTGTTGGGCCGATGCTCACGATGCTCCTGCACGACCACCTCCACCTCCTCTTTGCGGCCGGCCTCAGCGAGAGCCTGCGCGTGTGCCTAGCGCAGGTGGCGCGCGCGATTCCGCCCCTGTTGGGCGTTGTGCAGGGTGATTTTTATTTCCTCGCGGTGCTTGCTTCCCTTTTTGTTTAAATACGCTAACACTTTTTCGCAGACCGCCTCCTCGACCTCCTTTCGCACATTCTCTCCGGGACGCCGTACACGCGTCTCGGCGCCCCACCCGTCGCACCGTCTGCTGCAGCTGCCCTCAGTGGAGGACAGGGAAAGACGGAGGGCGGCCCGCCCGGGAAGGAGGTGTTGACGCTTGCGCTGAATACGCTGGGGAGTTTTGATTTTGGGGGTGAGTTTTGTTTTCCTTTATTCTTTATTTTTGTTCTTATTTGGAACATCTACTAACACCCCCGCAGGCCACATCCTGACCGAATTCGCGCAGACGAACGCGCTTCCGTACATCGAGGACGACGCGCCCGAGGTTCGGCGCGCGGCCGCGCTTGCGTGTTGCAGGCTTTTTGGCGGGGCGGGCGGAAGCGCGGAGGAGTATGGGTTGGGCGGAAGTGTAAACGGAGCAGGCGGCGGCGGAGGAGGGGGTGTTAATGGAACCGGGGGCGGCGGGGTGGGGTACCAGAAAAGCGGGCACGCGGTAGATGTTGTGAGCGATGTGCTGGGAAAGCTGTTGACGGTGGGGATTGCTGATCCAGGTGCGTGTTTTTTTTTCTGTTTAATATTGAAGAAAAGTGTTGACGGAGTGGGTTGTAGACCCGACGATCCGGAATATCGTACTAGGGTCGCTGAACGAGCAGTTTGACCGCCATCTATCGCAGGCGGAGAATGTGCGTAGTTTGTTCATCGCGCTGAATGACGAGGTGTTTGAGAATCGGGTCACGGCGGCGAGTTTAATTGGGGTGCGTGTTCCATCCTATTTGTTTTATTGAAGATGGAGGGTAACGCGTTGCTGTTCTGCAGCGCATGGCGCGACACAACCCCGCGTACGTGATGCCCTCGCTGCGCAAGACCCTCATCCAGCTCCTCACCGAGCTCGAATACTCCACCGTCGCGTAAGCCCTCCTATTCCACTTCTTCATTCGTTTATTAATCTCGCACAGACTAAACCGCGAAGAGTCGACGCGCCTCCTCACGCTCCTCGTGCACAACACCCAGCGCCTCATCAAGCCGTACGCGCTCCCCATGTT